ACCACGCGGACTGGTAGCCTCCACGCGGACTGGTAGCCTCCACGCGGACTGTCAGCCTCCACGAGCATGGTAGCCTCCACGCGCCTGTCAGCCTCCACGAGCATGGTAGCCTCCACTCAGACTGTCAGCCTCCACACGCGCCTGTCAGCCTCCACTCGGACTGTCAGCCTCCACGAGCATGGTAGCCTCCAAGCACGCCTGTCAGCCTCCACGCGGACTGTCAGCCTCCACGCGGACTGTCAGCCTCCACGCGGACTGTCAGCCTCCACGAGCCTGTCAGCCTCCACGAGGATGGTAGCCTCCATGCACGCCTGTCAGCCTCCACACGGACTGTCAGCCTCCACTCGGACTGTCAGCCACCACTCGGACTGGTAGCCTCCACGCGGACTGTCAGCCTCCACGAGCATGGTAGCCTCCACGCACGCCTGTCAGCCTCCACGCGGACTGTCAGCCTCCACGCGGACTGTCAGCCTCCACGCGGACTGTCAGCCTCCACGAGCATGGTAGCCTCCACGCGCCTGTCAGCCTCCACGAGCATGGTAGCCTCCACACACGCCTGTCAGCCTCCACGAGCATGGTAGCCTCCACGCACGCCTGTCAGCCTCCACTCGGACTGTCAGCCTCCACACGCGCCTGTCAGCCACCACGCGAACTATCAGCCTCCACGAGCATGGTAGCCTCCACGCGCCTGTCAGCCTCCACGAGCATGGTAGCCTCCACTCAGACTGTCAGCCTCCACACGCGCCTGTCAGCCTCCACTCGGACTGTCAGCCTCCACGAGCATGGTAGCCTCCAAGCACGCCTGTCAGCCTCCACGCGGACTGTCAGCCTCCACGCGGACTGTCAGCCTCCACGAGCATGGTAGCCTCCACGCGCCTGTCAGCCTCCACGAGCATGGTAGCCTCCACTCAGACTGTCAGCCTCCACACGCGCCTGTCAGCCTCCACTCGGACTGTCAGCCTCCACGAGCATGGTAGCCTCCAAGCACGCCTGTCAGCCTCCACGCGGACTGTCAGCCTCCACGCGGACTGTCAGCCTCCACGCGGACTGTCAGCCTCCACGAGCCTGTCAGCCTCCACGAGGATGGTAGCCTCCATGCACGCCTGTCAGCCTCCACGCGGACTGTCAGCCTCCACTCGGACTGTCAGCCACCACTCGGACTGTCAGCCTCCACACGCGCCTGTCAGCCTCCACACGCGCCTGTCAGCCACCACGCGGACTGGTAGCCTCCACGCGGACTGGTAGCCTCCACGCGGACTGTCAGCCTCCACGAGCATGGTAGCCTCCACGCACGCCTGTCAGCCTCCACGCGGACTGTCAGCCTCCACGCGGACTGTCAGCCTCCACGAGCATGGTAGCCTCCACGCGCCTGTCAGCCTCCACGAGCATGGTAGCCTCCACTCAGACTGTCAGCCTCCACACGCGCCTGTCAGCCTCCACTCGGACTGTCAGCCTCCACGAGCATGGTAGCCTCCAAGCACGCCTGTCAGCCTCCACGCGGACTGTCAGCCTCCACGCGGACTGTCAGCCTCCACGAGCATGGTAGCCTCCACGCGCCTGTCAGCCTCCACGAGCATGGTAGCCTCCACTCAGACTGTCAGCCTCCACACGCGCCTGTCAGCCTCCACTCGGACTGTCAGCCTCCACGAGCATGGTAGCCTCCAAGCACGCCTGTCAGCCTCCACGCGGACTGTCAGCCTCCACGAGCATGGTAGCCTCCAAGCACGCCTGTCAGCCTCCACGCGGACTGTCAGCCTCCACGCGGACTGTCAGCCTCCACGAGCATGGTAGCCTCCACGCGCCTGTCAGCCTCCACGAGCATGGTAGCCTCCACTCAGACTGTCAGCCTCCACACGCGCCTGTCAGCCTCCACTCGGACTGTCAGCCTCCACGAGCATGGTAGCCTCCAAGCACGCCTGTCAGCCTCCACGCGGACTGTCAGCCTCCACGAGCCTGTCAGCCTCCACGAGGATGGTAGCCTCCATGCACGCCTGTCAGCCTCCACGCGGACTGTCAGCCTCCACTCGGACTGTCAGCCACCACTCGGACTGGTAGCCTCCACGCGGACTGTCAGCCTCCACGAGCATGGTAGCCTCCACGCATGCCTGTCAGCCTCCACGCGGACTGTCAGCCTCCACGCGGACTGTCAGCCTCCACGCGGACTGTCAGCCTCCACGAGCATGGTAGCCTCCACGCGCCTGTCAGCCTCCACGAGCATGGTAGCCTCCACACACGCCTGTCAGCCTCCACGAGCATGGTAGCCTCCACGCACGCCTGTCAGCCTCCACTCGGACTGTCAGCCTCCACACGCGCCTGTCAGCCACCACGCGAACTGGTACCTCCACACGCGCCTGTCAGCCACCACTCGGACTGTTAGCCTCCACACGCGCCTGTCAGCCTCCACACGCGCCTGTCAGCCACCACGTGGACTGGTAGCCTCCACGCGGACTGGTACCTCCACACGCGCCTGTCAGCCTCCACGCGGACTGGTACCTCCACACGCGCCTGTCAGCCTCCACTCGGACTGTTAGCCTCCACACGCGCCTGTCAGCCTCCACACGCGCCTGTCAGCCTCCACGCGGGCTGTCAGCCTCCACGCGGGCTGTCAGCCTCCACGCGGACTGTCAGCCTCCACGCGGACTGTCAGCCTCCACGCGGACTGTCAGCCTCCACGCGGACTGTCAGCCTCCACGCGGACTGTCAGCCTCGCCTCCACGCGCGTGGACGGTCAGCCTCAACATCATTCCTTCCTTTCCACCCAACCATGGCAGTGACCTCCTTTTCCCCCTTCTTTTCTAATGCTACCTGAGGCACTATAGCTTTGCGATGAATAGAACTGATAATTGCATGTGTTTTATCTGACAGAAGCTTTTTAATTTAACTGCTGATGGTTTTTAAGTAAGAGTTCTGAATTGAAGGCAGGATGGTAATCTGGATGAACTGACTGCACAGACCATGTTTTCAGGAGGACTTTCTCACTTCAACAAAGATTCTAACTACTTTTTACCCACTGATTACAGCTAATATAGCTGCCATTGTTACAGGCACAGAAATGATAGATTTGCTCCGCCCAACGTGCATCAGACCCACTTTACCACCGCGCAGCCATTACAGTCAGTTTCCTCTTTTATTAGCTTCTTGTTTACCTTGAGCTTATTTTCAGTAGTGTGTGGTGTTTGCATAGTTTTTACAGTAAATAATACTGTTATAGGGATCATTGGCCAATAAAGGTACTGATATTTAAACTGTGGTAGTCTTTTAATATTTATACAGTGAACGATTTATCACTTAGAGCCAGATCAATCCTCTTTTTGTTAACAACTGAATAGAGAACATTTATTTTGTTTGGTGGTTAATAACTCTGCTGATAGCCACAGTCTAAATGACTAAACTGGTGAAAGACAATTGGAGTTTAACAGCTGGCCCAGAAGTCCAACCTTTGGTAAAAGACTGAAGAGCCTTGGTTAAAATGACCTATTAATTAACTATAATTCCTGGTTCTAGTTAACAATATATTCCCAATCTGCTGCTAAATTGAACATCCATCCATCCATCCATCCATCTTCCTCTGCTTATCCGGGGTCGGGTCGCGGGGGCAGCAGCTTAAGAAGGGAGGCCCAGACTTCCCTCTCCCCAGCCACTTTTTCCAGCTCTTCAGGAGGAATCCCAAGGCGTTCCCAGGCCAGCTGAGAAACATAGTCTCTCCAGCGTGTCCTGGGTCTTCCCCGGGGCCTCCCCCCGGTGGGACGTGCCCGGAACACCTCACCAGGGAGGCGTCCAGGAGGCATCCTAAACAGATGCCCAAGCCACCTCAACTGGCTCCTCTCGACGTGGAGGAGCAGCGGCTCTACTCCGAGTCCCTCCCGGATGACCGAGCTTCTCACCCTATCTCTAAGGGAGAGCCCAGCCACCCTACGGAGGAAACCCATTTCAGCCGCTTGTATCCGCGATCTCGTTCTTTCGGTCATGACCCAGAGTTCATGACCATAGATGAGGGTAGGAACGTAGATCCACCGGTAAATCGAGAGCTTCGCTTTTTGACTCAGCTCTCTCTTCACCACGACGGACCGGTACAGCGCCCGCTTCACGGCAGACGCTGCACCAATCCATCTATCGATCTCCCGCTCCCTTCTTCCCTCATTCGTGAACAAGATCCCAAGATACTTAAACTCCTCCACTTGGGGCAGGACACCCCCCCTGACCCGGAGAAGGCACTCTACCCTTGAACAGCACCAGGTTTTATGAAACGGTTTCATCGGTTGGCCGTTAAGCTTTCTTTGTTATCAAACCTTATCTACAGCTGCTACGTTTTGCATATTTGATCAATTATTAGAGTTTCTGTGTCAAACTCCTTCCTCCTTACTCCGACCTGCTGAGTTCCTGCAAATGTCTGATTTGGTGAGACTAAGGCTGGGCAATTAATTACATTTGCAAAATAACAAAATGCAATTTTCAAATCGCAGAGGTACTGATTTTTAATTATACTATATTTAAAGAAAAGGACATTAAATTCCTCCCTGAAGCCCTTTAAGTTAAACGATTGAAGATTTGTCGCCACATGAAGGTAGAGAGTAATAACTAGCATGCAGATCCACACATACAAGTAGAAATAAACTGTTTTTCATATAACGTTAAGTCATGTAACACTGACCTTTTAACCTTAACGTTTTTAAAACGTTAAGGTTAAAAGGAAAATTTAAATAAAATTGCAATTGTGGTTAAATAAAATGCTATTTAGATTTATGGCAACATCCTTTAGGCCTAGATGAGACACATCAAATGCTAAGCTATAAATCGTAAAGATGTAAATAAAGGAAAAGTAAAATCCCGGCCTCGTTCACTGAGCCTGTCAGACTGAAAGTCTGGGGAAGCATTACAGAAACAAGAATTTGAGATCTAATGTTAAATAGTAATGGTATAAACGTGCAGAAAGCAACAAAGGATCTCCAAAATATTCTCTATTCTGTTACACTTGGGGTCAAAGTTCTGTAGTGACCTACCTGGCAGACACGGATGGCGTTGTCCAAAACAGTCTTTGTATCGGTGGTGTAGTCGCTGCATGGGAGCTGAGCGTGGCTGAAGTGCGCCTGCAGCAGCAGGTGAGTCTTGGTGTGTGGACTGTCGAAGGAGTGCGGGTTGACCTGCAGAGGGAGCTGCTGAGCCAGCTGGCTGTTGAGCTGGTCCTCGTTGTGTCTGACCGGTAGCTCAGCGTACTCCTCTGCATCCTAAAAAAGCACCAAAAGTTCAGCCCAGATTTTCAGAACCGACTGAGACGCTCTTCTTTTGTAACATTGACTCCTTGTGCATTTCAACCTTAGACTTCGGCCACGCTGTGGGGATTAGTGCTACATGAACAGGAATGTTCGGTTTTGATGTTTGCTCTTTGCTGGAAAGCAACATAAAGCTTTATGTCATCCAAAGCCAAACTTAACCTGACACTGAGAAAGACGCAGGGCAGCTAATAACCTGCAAAAGATGGACCCTGTGAGCAAATGTGGGACTAAAACAAGTGGAGGAAATTAAAGCTTTATTAGAAACGGCTTTCAGATTATTTTAAATGTAACTGACATGGCGCTGGAAGTGAAGAGGAAAGAGGGATTAAAGGAAAAGGAATAATCAATCGATCATTATTTATACCTAAAACTAATACATTTGCAGTGATTTAATGAATTTAGCTTTAATCAGTAAAAATAAAAAAAAAAATAAAAATTTTTGTTGGGATCACTGAGCGGCCACTTTTTCCCAAATATACTAACACCTCACTCCTGACATCTTCCTGCAGAGACGTCACAATGACTTGGATAATAGCGCGTTGTGACAAACACCAGATACAGCACTGGGACTTGATCAACAGCCGATACCGCACCGTGACGTCACCAACCAGTAGGTGGCAGTAGTGTTCTTTGACAAACATGGATGCCTCCAGTAAAGCACATTCACATGGAAATTACTCTGAATTAAAAACACTGATCATTTATTGAACAGGATGGAATCATTTCAGATTTAAAGAACTTTCAGAAGTTTGAGTTCTGAATATGAGCAAATTTTTCCTTAAAATAAATATAGTGGAGAAGGAACCGCTGGTGGTTTATGTGGTTACATTTCTACGGTTTCTCCATGGGAACGTTCATTAGCAGGCGTGAGGAGCAACAGAAACCAACAGAACTTGGACAGGATGGAAAATCATTTTTGGCAGCAGAATATGATCTCAAAAAGGAGCAATGACTCCCTCTGATGATCTAGAAAATTAAAATAAGAAATTAAAAACCAGATGTAAAAATTTTCATCTCAACGCAGCTCTGTGACTCCATGCAGGAAAAAGCTTTGGGGAAAATCAAAGTCACAAACAACTATAAAACATTTAAATATGTCTTTAAGCGACACAATCACAGTCTTCCTTTTGGTGTGTTTGTCCTGAGGGAAGTTTTCAGAAAATCAGGATTTGCACAAATAAAACAGGGAGAAAACTTTGGGAAGGAAGAAATGATTGCGTTCCATCCGTCTTGTCAGTTAGATGAGACCGTTAGCTCATCTTGGTTTCTATGCTGGAAATGCGTGGGCACGAATGGCTCCTTTACTATAATCTACTTATGTTTAACTTTGATGTGTTGAGGCGTTAGTGGAGGCCATCCCTCAGCCGGGCCGTTAAACACTCCATTCATCAGCCAGGAAGCCACTGTTACAGAAAGCTGGAGGTAAATGACCTGAGGAAGCTCAGGCTTCATTCCGTTAGAAATAAAACCGTCTGTTTATTCTGATGGGATTTTATGTTACAGATCGTAACACATAAGATCACATGTTGGTGTAGTCATGTTCAGAAGGATCCAACAGATGTATAAAGCTTTAGCGACCTGACTGGGCTTTGAAATGAACCAGAACTTTCTCCCTGGCCTGCTGAGGTCCTGGGTCTCCGTATGTTGGTCGTTCACCGATGTTCTCAGAAACAGAACAGCTGCATCATACAGTGATTAAAGGGAACGGCCAGGAAACACTGCTGTCAGTGGATTTTATTTATTACCAACCAGGGCTGAAATTAAGCAGGAACGATCTAGTACAGTCAAAGAGGCGGCGGTACGCGGTTCCAGGAAGAGCTGCTGCTCCGGTTTGGTTCCACCTATTTCAGCGCACAGTTACTAACTTGGAGAGATGGATATGCAATATTAAATCTCACACACGGTCATTTAGTGCGTATCTGATGTTTGGTAAACTTTGCTCTGCCTGCTGTACTCATGCAGAATCCGTCTTTGCACATGCTGCACGCTTAGATCCTTGTCTGCACTTACGCTCCACCCTGATGCGCTCAGCAGCTCATTGCACGCCCGACTCTCCCCTCGCTACCTGATAAACTATACGTGGCTGATAAACACCATCTGCCAAGTGCAAAAAAGTGATTTTATCTAGATTTAGGGATTTTGTTGCTTTCAGTTTAGAAGAGGTGATGCAAAACTTTCTTTAACTTCTTCCAAAGGACTCTTGAAATTATATCCATAATAAATATTTTGGTGCTTATTGGTTATTTCTTGATAAAACCCCGAAGGAAAATTCATATACATCATATATGACGATTTATCTAATCGTGCCTTCTTCTATCTATTCAATTAACAAGCAAATGTTTTCCTGTATTGTTATAAAAACTTTCATCTGTTTCCTTTGAATATTTCAACATTATATTTTAACATATTTCTTAAATATAGGCTTAGACTGCTGGAGGACATAGGGACCCCTTTTTCATCATTCTGCTTCATTCTATCTCTATTCTCCCACTCTGCAGAATCTGTTAGTTCAATCTCTAACGTTCTGCTCTCTCTGCTTTTTCTCATAGTAGCTTCATCTGGTCTGTTCCTGTTTGGCTGTGACTCCATCCTGGAGAGAAACATCAGCTGTGCTGCTGCCATCAACACCTTTGTTTCTAGATGTTGGAGCTTGGCCTGTTTTCCAGTGTAGTCCTGTTTCTCTGACTGTGACTAACTGGATGTGCTCTCTTCATCCTCTGACATGGGAGCTGGCTCGGAGCTCGTCTGCCTGGCTGTGTGTTTCCTGGACGGGGCCGCCTGTGGAGCTGGTTGACAGTTGCCTTTTGTATCTATGCTTCTTTTTCTATGTCTGCTTCTGTCTCCTTGAACCCCAGTGGGCCTCAGCAGATGGCCGCTCACACTGAGCCTGGTTCTGCTGGAGGTTTCTTCCTGTTCAAAGGGAGTTTTTCCTCTCCACTGTCGCTACAAGCATGCTTAGTGTGAGGGATTGCTGAAGAGTCAATGAGTCGATGCAATCAGCTGGTTTTCCTTAGATAGAAACCTTTGAATCAATCTGACTGGATGATCTGGTGAACTGGAAAGTGACCTGAGATGACATGATGTGAATTGGCGCTATAGAAATAAACTGAATTGAACTGAATGGATTTCTGGATTTGCAGCTTCTCTGTTTTCTTCTGCAATTCATGCATGCGGGCTGTAATAGACAAATATAGGCTAAAAAAGTTTTTTTACAGAGAACCAGCAATAATTTAAATCTACTTTCCCGCCTGGTAGAAGGTCGGTATATTTGCACAGAAGTTAGGAATCCGTTAAAGACACACGGCAGATGATAGAGATGAACCCTGGGGAACATTTTAGGACAATAAGACAAGAAAGACAGGCTGATAGTTCAGCTGGAACAGCTGGGTGAGAAACCGTGGTGCTGGGAGGCAGAGGTCACCATCAGGAGGAACGCAAGGCTACCGGGGGTGGTGGGTGGGGTGGAGGGCAGGTCAATCAGGGAGTCAGTTATGCTTTAGTGTAAATCTAATCTAAATCTAAAAACATATGTAAAGTCAAAGTGGCTCCCCTTCTGTACGCTGGCATCATTAGACAGACGGATCAAACCTCTGAGAGGCCAGTAAGACCAGAATGTCTTGTTCTCTCCAGGTGAAGCTCACCGTGAGGACAGTTAGTAGCTCATCCGCCGTCAGCTCAGCCCTCAGCTGCTCCTTGAACATCCGGATGGTCGGATGCTTCAGGTAGTAATAGGAGGCGATGCGTCCGTATGTCAGGGGCTCCACCGCCTGATCGTCCTGATGGGGAAAAAAAAACATTTTCTGTGTCTGAACATGAACACCAGCAGTTAGAACATCAGCAACGAGTACGCACCTCCTTTATCTCTATGCAGTAGGAGCATTCCAGGTCCCGCAGGCTGTTCGCCACCAAGCCGGACAGATATTTGTTAATGGAGTCATGGCTGACGTCTTCCAGGTTGTAGTAACTGAAACACACAGTCGGTGGTTTAGGAGGTCAGCTTGTTTCCTTCCATTTAATCCCACCGACTGATGGCCGTTCTGCCCAGTCCACACAACTGGTCCAGGTCTTTCTGGGTTCTTTGAGGAAAACTTTAGTCTAAGCTGTGGTGTTTTTTGGAGAGAGAAGCTCATGAATCCCTGCAGCCCCCAGAACTTTATAACAGTACCCAGGACCTGCTGACAGTCCGTTACAGATACATGAGGGTTCTGGAGGAACAGACTCTGCTTTTTGGGTAAACTCAGATAATAAGAATAAGGATTATATATGAATAAATCAGGCCAGCAATGTAGATGAATAAGAAATTAGTTGTCCTTTATAGCTCGTATGGATTTGGTCAACAAAATTCAGAAATGATAAATATTAACAGTAAAGACAGTTCAGAGTAAAAATGGGAAAAAAGAGGCTGATTCTCAAGAGACTTTAGTAAAAAAGAAAACAATCTTCCATGGAGCTAGCTTTCAGGCTATTAAAAACCCCAACAGAAAATGAGTCCCAGGGTGGGCTATCATTAGGGGACATGAGAAGAGGCCAAATGGGTTCCATGTTGGGCTCTCAGATGTAAGAGTTTCCACATGAGCCTCAGTTGGAGGCCTAGTCAGTTCACTGCCAAGATCTATGTGGAGTTTAAGGGGCGGGGCTTTTAAAGGGCGCTGGAGACAGCAGAGCGCCTGACAGGAAATCAGACCAAAATCACTGGAAATCTAACAAAGCAATCTATCAGAAGCATCATCTTTGAAATAAACTATCTGATTTTAGAAAAAATCCATAGAAATCAAAATTATTCTCACCACTGGACAAATAAAGGAGAGCAGATATTTGGATTAAAGCAGTGACACCTCCCGACAGCTGCTGATCAGTCTATTTATCTTTGGTGATGAACGTCTTTAAGGATGGAAGGCCTCCTGACCATCACCCTAAAGCCGGGCGTACACTGGGCCATATTTTCAATCGTTGCACCAACAGCAGCTCTACAGCTCATGTTTGTTCTCACGCTGTGCGACCCGACGCTCTGATGCGATCTACCTGCTCACACTGTATGTCTATAAACCAGGTGGGACTCAGCTCCGCAGTGAGATGGCGCTACTCGGACTCGTCTATCCAGAAGCCAAACCAGTAGCAGAGGAACATGAAGCTCACTAGAGTGAAACGCGCTGCCTTGGATATTTGGGCGATTTAGTGCTTAAAGCCCTAAAAAGAAAAGGAGACGACGTATTTGGACAAAGACATGGCTGAGCTAACGTGGCTACTACGGTCTGTCAGTTTGACAGAAAGAACTCCATTTCACTCATTGCCCCCCCGCCATGCTGCTGGGTTTACATCGAGGAGGAGGAGGAGGAAGAAGAAGAAGAAGAGGAGGAGGAAGAAGAGGAGGAAGAAGAGGAAGAAGAGGAAGAGGAAGAAGAAGATTTTTTTTTTTTTTAACAAAACATTTATTAAACAATGATTCATCAACAAACAGTTAAAAAACTCAGGTCATCAGGAGATCATTATAAAAGCAGCTTGTTATATTTCAGCTCTCCTGACTCAGAAATGGTGCACAACACATTGTTAAAACCCCACAGTTGTATGAAACCCTTCAAATCCCCAGTGGCTCTGTGGAAGCAGAACTCCAGCCTCAACCTGGCTTTGATGTTACACTTCCACAGAACCACCGCATCAAGCTGAGGTCCGTTTATCTCGTCGTGTAAGGTAAATGGCCATTTTGGCTTCAGAGATTAAATAATTTAAAATTCTGGATTTGAAAGCAGTGGCTCGGTTATAATGTACACCATTGATAAAAACGGAATGGGTAAAAACCACACTAAAAAGGCTAAAAACGTTCATTAAACAATTGAAAAAACTAGTCAGTCGTACACAATCCATAAAAATGTGAAACACACTCTCAGGCAAACTGCAAAAAGGACATTTGCTTAAAACCTCAGGACTGATGACAGGAAGACGAAGACAACAAAGACGAAAAAGACGAAGAAGACGAGGACGAGGAAGAATCGATTTACCCACGACCACCTTATGACGGCCGACTGAATTTCAAACATGTTTGATTTTCTCCCGACCTTACGATTCCTGATGGGGAGGTGGTCGTTAGAGGCTGATCGCCCCTCGTTACCCCCCATATACACTACACCACACACCATCAGGCTGAAATTTGACCTGATGGAAAAATTCCCACACGACTGGAGAATCTTCCCTAAAAGTGCAAAAAAATCGTACATTGTACGCCCTGCTTAATCTATAGCTCTTTAGCGACTACTCTGTTTGTACCGTTTCTATGGTTCAGGTTGTCTGAAATAAAGCTTAAATCTTCCAGAGCTTTGGTTAACTCTCAGCAAACGATAAACACTGAACGTCATGAAGCTCATCTTATACCTTTGGTCGGATCAGGGTTGTTCCTAAAGATGTCCATCTTACGATCGACAGTTTACCAGATGGTAACCTTTAATCCTGTCACTTTAACCAAACAAAGACATAAAAACTGACAATGAATACAAAAGCTGAGGATTATTCGGCTGTTTATGGCACATCGACTGGAGCTGCTTTGGACCAACTGTTAAACAAGTGAAAGCAGCTTCTTGGAGCCATAGCCACTGGCGGCTGGCAGCAGCTGACCGGCTTCAGTGATGAAAACTTTATCTTCCATGTTAACAGCGAACACCTCTGAGGACGGAACGTGTTTATCACCACCCAGATTTCCCAGCGCCCGTCTGATGAAGACGTAGCCATTAGCATTATTGCCACCAGGCTCCTGATGGAGCAGGGCATCAGCGGTTAATGATTCCCCTGGGGCTGCACCGCTGTGCTCTCTGTGCAGGGGCCATTAAAGCTGAAAGCATGGGTGATTTATTGCCTTAGGAGGGAGAAGATGGGGAGTTTCCTCATATAGAGGACTAATTTAAAGACTAAATGTTTCATTCTTAAAGGAGGACTTTGTTTTAGACGTGTTTTTAATTTCCAATAATGTGATTCAATAGATTGCTGTGAAAACTGGCCCCTCTAACAGGAACTAAATTGTCTAAGTTTGTTTAAATCAAGAAAGATTCTGGAACTGATCTTTAAAACGTTTGTTTATAAAAGCGTCCACACTGGATATCTGTGCAAAGCTGATCTACTAACCAGCTGCAACAGGAGCAAACCCGTTTATATGCAGAACATGCTGATGCCTAAAACGTTATTCATTAACACCTGAAATGGAAACAGATTAGGAGAGAAGTTTCTGCATCTTCCTGGCAGAGAAGCTAAGAACAAACATGAGGATGATGGATGGATGGATGGATGGATGGATGGATGGATGGAATGATGGATGGATGGATGGATGGATGGATGCATGGATGGATGGATGGATAGATGAAGGGATGGATGAAGGATGGATGGATGGATGGATGGATGGATGGAATGATGGATGGATGGATGGATGGATGGATGCATGGATGGATGCATGGATGGATGGATGGATAGATGAAGGGATGGATGAAGGATGGATGGATGGATGGATGGATGGATGAAGGATGGATGGATGATGGTGGATGCTAACTGATGGTGGATGGAAATGGTGGTCAGTCCAGGAGAAGCTGTGCTCAGCTGGAAGCTGCTGAGCTGCAGCCTGGATAACTGGGATGTTCTCTGCCTCCCAGTTCAGCCTCCATCACCTCCAGCTTCTCCAGTATAAAAACCCTTAATGTTTGATCCTCTTTATGCTGCCTTCCTTTGTTTTAGAAGTGATTTTAAATTTGAACTGTTTGTTTTTAATCGTCTCACCAATGTCTTCCTGTTTTCCTTTGCTTATCCAAAGGAAAACAGGAAGACTGAAGATCGCTGCTATAAATAAAAACATGAAAATAAATAAATGAGACGAATGAAAGACTAAGACAGAAATATATCAACACCAGACTGACTGATAATTAATAAGCATTCAATGATTCTTCTATGAGTCATTCTTCTGATTCCATTAATGTTTTCTTTAGGCCATATGTTTATCTGTTTCGATATTATAATTGTGGAAGTATTGCGTCAGATTTCAGCCTAAAGTCCACACGTGTAATAAATACTCATCTGAGCAGTTTTATTTCAAACACAAGGATGTAAACTTCATTTTCATTGCTCTATGAGGTCCAGATGTATCGCAGCCATGAATTAATTCTCTGCGCTCGAAGTTTGTTTTTTAATGTAGATTCTGCCGTGTTTGGACCCACTTCTGTGCGCTTCTGACAACTTTCGCCACTTTGAAGGCGTTACCCACCGGACAGAGCAACTTGCCAGTGATTGGATACTTTTCATGGAATCCTGCCTCTTGAGGCGGCTCTCTTCTTCTTACTAGCAACTTAATTTTCCTTTACTTTTTATCGCACAATTTGCAATCCTCGTCTGGGCGATTCCGTGCTAAAGTTGAAACAGTCTGTAACACATTATGGGCACAGACTACAGCACAGGCATAGGTCTAGGTTTAATGCAAACATGAATTTAAATAAAGCCGGAGCAAACTGGAGCAGAGCTCCGACCTTTGAATAGAAAGCCGCTCTGCGCTCCCCCATATTTCTTCCTCTCCACTCCGCTCCCATGTCTGGGCATCGGACATGTTGGCCACGTGTGTTAGTGGCCTCAGTGAGCAGCCGCCACTAACCTGGGGTTCATCACCAGCCGTCTGAAGAAGTAGGTCCATGTGATGTAATCCATGGCATCCTGCTTGGAGGAGATGGTTCCAGCAGCGACTTCAGCGTTCAGATGGTCTGACAGCACGCTGAGGAGGCTGACGAGACAAAAAAAAAAATTAAATTAAAAAATCAGAACTATAAATATACAGTCATATGTTTATATTGCTATTTCTTATGTATTTATTACTGTTTTCAAGGCTGCCCTTTAAAAAATGTAATTGTCTAGAGCTCTTTTAAATGAAATTTAAAAATAAAAGTCTAAGTCTAAGAACAGATGATGAGAGTTAGGAGCTCCGTTACCAGAGGTCTCCTTTATCAGAGCGTGTGTGGATTCTACCTTTAGCAGAGGTGATGGTTTAACACCAGAGTCTATAACAAAAGAGTGACTGTGGATCTATTCTGAACCGGAACACAGATTTCTGTTTGTTACTCAGAGATCCAGATGTGGAAGTCACAAACCAGCTGTGCTCCGTTTGACCAAAAGTCCAAATCCTGTTGGGTTTTTTCCCTCTTCACGAGCAAATCCACGTCTGACTCCATGGCTGTGTCCAACCATCCGCCCTAAACACTATATAGGGGTTACGCCATGAGTGCCGAACGTCTAAAAGTAGTGGACTAAAATTTCCCACAATGCACCTTGGGAAAGTAGTGATCACCCATGGTCACTAGACGAGCAGATATATCCCAGACTTATGGGATATGTTGTAGCAGTGACATTATATACGTAGACGCCTAATTGGACGCTGTCGGCAACGAGGCCGAATTGCCTAGAGGGCGGCCATCTTGGATCGGACCAGTTTAGACAGCTGCTGTCAGAATGAACCGGAGGCGCCTTAGATCTCATTTTAATCACATGAAAGACGAGTCAGAGATAATATTACAATAATCTCTAACATGTCACAACCACTTAAAAGGCCAAAACTAATTTTGAAAAAATTTATTTTTTTGGCGGGGGGGTGGGGGGGAAGTCATATTTAAATGTCAAATCATTCTGGCCTAAACATGTATCGTGAAAAATCAGTACTCTTTATTAACACATATTTTCCCAAAGTTTAGCAAATTTATACTTAATAAAAATCCTGACTTAAAATCTGTGTTTTTTATTTGTTATCTTCTGCAGGCCAGTTAGTTCTACGTCAGCCTGAACACCTAAATTCGTCCAATCATATATCAACGTTCATCTGTCAATCAAATGTTTTCGGTCATAGCATCTTGATTCATGTGTCGCAGCTAATATACGCAGCGGTTGAAATCAGAATCCTTTCCTTTCCCATTGAGTTGCGTCCCAGTGTTCACGGGGATGGACGTCTGTGTCTTCGGCAGGCGTAGAGCTAACAGAACTGGCAGCGTTGCGAGGCAAGGGCTCAAACATGTACGGCTGGAAGCCTTCTACACCAAACCAAGCTTCTGCCGCCCTGGCGTCCTCTTCCACAACATCTTCGTCCCCGCTTTCCTCCTCTAAATAAAAAATGGATGACGGAGGAGACTCATCCACGACCTCCGACACTAAACTCTCCTCCTCTTTCATGTTTCCTCTGTCCATAGCGTTCCTTGACAGCGTCGTTTCTAAAGCACCAATTTAGTGCTACTTGGTCCCAATGGAATTTCCCATTGGGAACCTGCTAGCACTAAGATGCTAACTGGTTAGCAAGATGCTTCCAACAAACCGGCCACAATCAAACTCATGTAAAGTCGGGCACCACTCCGGAGAATTTGGAAATGCAGCGGTTGGAACGGCCGCTTCCCTACGACTTAAATATTCTTAGCGTTCTGATGGCATTGTAGAGTTTTATGGGGCCCCCAGGGAACTTGGGGCCTTAGGCAACTGCCTAGTATTGCCTAATAGTAAATCCCCCCCAAGGTGGAGAACCTGGGCTTCTGAACCCATTATAGTGCAAAACATGACCTTTTTGAAATGAGCAGAGCTACATGGATTTATCTAGACGGCATCATTAAACAGCAAACTGATGCATCTAGTTCTCAGAGGTGTTACGTAACCAAGTACAAATATTTCATTTCTGTATTTAAGTAGATTTTTTATAGACATTGATAAAGACATGATGCAGCAGCTGCAAATAAACAGGGAAGATCCACAGAATGTGTCCTGTTGGAGCGCAGTTTGTTTACAGAAACACACTGATGGAGACGGGGGGGCTGCGAGACGCTGCAGATGATGGATCAGATTCTCAGACGCAGACATTCCCCCTTTATTAGATTTAAATTTACACGTTGGTTATGTTTCAGGTTCTATTTCCAGCTTTTATGCTGTGATGAATACCAGAGCTGTGAAAGGATTCAGCTGCTTCAAACTCCCGTCAGGATTTGATCCTCTACCAACACAGAGACTAGAGGAGGAAAATTCACCCACTTTCTGTGCAGACATGTTCTTTTTAACAACAGATGTTTAAAAGTTACTTATCATTTAGAAAAATACTTGATTTGGTTTTATACTTAAGTACTATTTATTTCAATAAAGAATGTGAGAACTTTTGCCTCCTCTGATGGTCTTTCATCAGAATGAGGATGGTTCACAGAAACCTGGCTGTGGCAGGAGGCCCCAGGACCCTGATTTAGTCCACTAAAAACAACAACTTTCTTTTGGGATTAATGAGGTTCTTTTTTTCCTTAAATAAAGTGTTAGTAGAGAGGAATATGATGAATAGGATGGAAGGCAGAGGACTGATTAACAAACACAGGATATCAATACTGCTGCCAGAACTGTTGCTAATAAATGTTACCTGGACTCTACAGGGAACGGTTCATAGAGAAACTTCTTGTAGAAATCCTTCTTGATGTCATGGACCAGGATAACGGCTTTGCCCTGGTCATCAAACTGAGGACGTCCAGCTCGCCCCATCATCTGCAGCACATCTGGAGGCACACAGAGCACAGCTGGTCACTGCAGGCTGCTTCTGTCGGAGCTCTGGACAGGCTCAGACAAATCCACAAACTCCAACAGCATCAGGGAACATCTCTGACGTTTAAAGGAGTAAACTGACACCAAATGGCCACTTTATTAGGAACAAAGGTATGAAACTTCTCCCCATTGCAACAGCCTGAACGCCTCACAGCAAACCTTCTGATGGGAACTCTTTGGTATGATGGCATCAGAGGTGCTGCTAAGTTTTGAGCAACAGAACCAGGATTAAATCTCTTGTTTCTATGTTGGACCAAGACTTTATCACCACTGGACTTCAGTTCTATTCAGTTTATTTCTATAGCTCCAATTCACATCATGTCATCTCAGGTCACTTTCCAGTTCACCAGATCATCCAGTCAGATTGATTCAAAGTTTTCTATCTAAGGAAAACCAGCTGATTGCATCGACTCATTGACTCTTCAGCAATCCCTCACACTAAGCATGCTGCCGCTACGACAGTGGAGAGGAAAAACTCCCTTTGAACAGGAAGAAACCTCCAGCAGAACCAGGCTCAGTGTGAGCGGCCATCTGCTGAGGCCCACTGGGGTTCAAGGAGACAGAAGCAGACATAGAAAAAGAAGCATAGATACAAAAGGCAACTGTCAACCAGCTCCACAGGCGGCCCCGTCCAGGAAACACACAGCCAGGCAGACGAGCTCCGAGCCAGCTCCCATGTCAGAGGATGAAGAGAGCACATCCAGTTAGTCACAGTCAGAGAAACAGGACTACACTGGAAAACAGGCCAAGCTCCAACATCTAGAAACAAAGGTGTTGATGGCAGCAGCACAGCTGATATTTCTCTCCAGAATGGAGTCACAGCCAAACAGGAACAGACCAGATGAAGCTACTATGAGAAAAAGCAGAGAGAGCAGAACGTTAGAGATTGAACTAACAGATTCTGCAGAGTGGGAGAATAGAGATAGAATGAAGCAGAATGAAGAAAAAGGGGTCCCTATGTCCTCCAGCAGTCTAAGCCTATAGCAGCAGAACTATAGAGATAGATCAGGATAACCTGAGCCACTCTAACTAGAAGCTTTATCAAATTATCCTGATGTTTAATTGAATTGAACTCCAGTTCAGTGACCTCATCATCCTGCTCAGAAAACCAGGTTAAATTAGCAGTGGCATTCATCTGGGGACGGGTACGCTGTGCTCATTAAGGGATGGGGCTGGTCTGTTGAGTCATTTTAATGGACCTTGTGGATTTTGTTGATGTTTTGTGACTGGAGCGGCACCGTTCTACCGAAGGTCGACTATTCTGCTGTGTCCCCACGGCTGCTGGCCTGTTAACGATCAGCTGTACCTAATAAAGTGGCCATTGGTGGAATCTGGACTGACCAGATGAGGGAAAAGGAAGCCTGTGTACCTGTGATGGGATAGTCCACGTAGCGTCTGGATTTCCCGTCGTAGTATTCGGTTCCCTTGACGACCACCAGGTGAGCGGGAAAGTTTACTCCCCATGCTAGAGTACTGGTGGCAATCAGAACCTGTTCATGTTTTGATAGGAAGGAAGAAAAAACAACAGAAAATGACACCAGAGGAAACTGGATATTCAGCAAAAAAACCATCAGGAAGTGTGAGTCACGTGACGACCACGAGACAACAGGTGCTATCTTTAAAGACTACAGGTCCCATACAACAAGGTCACAGAAGGTTAGTGGTGAACTGATGGGCTGCAGACAACTGGATGAGAAGAAGACTGTCCAAAAATCATCATGATAAAATTAAATCAGTGGATAAGTCTCCTGTAGGAAGATGATTCCAGACTGTCTACCAGAAGATGCATGACATCCATGTCATAATATAATGCAAGCATGCAGCAGTGGGTGGAGAGAGGTGCAGCTTACCTGAATCTTACAGTTGACAAACAGCTCCTCCACTGTCTTCCTGTCCCTCTCATGAAGGCCTGCGTGGTGCATGCCGATCCCAAAGGCCAGGGTCAGCTTAAGGTTGGAGTCCCTCACAGTGGCGATGATGGCCTCTATCTGCAGGCCCACCAGAGCCAAAGGACACATCAGACACACAGCGACATGAGGACACGCTACGGTAGGACTGCTGGAGTCAGAGCAGGATGTGTCCATCATGGAGTTCACAGCCTGCAGCATTTATAACGGCTTACTGAATCTCAAACATGCTTGATTTTCCCAACCTTATGATTCCCGATTGGGAGGTGCTCATGAGAGGCTAATCGACCCGTGTTAACCAGTAATGTAAGTTCCATACAAGCAGGTCTCAAGTCCCAAGTATTAGCAATCAAGTCTCAAGCAAGTCCCGAGTCATTTGGAAGGAGGATCAAGCAAGTCAAGTGATTTTATTTATAATGTCTGTGTTTCACTAAAACCATTATACAGTCAATATTTCTTGTTGATATCAGCTGTATTGGATCAACATGAATGATTTTTTATTTTTATTCGTAAAAATAGCTTTAACGTATGTTGAAAAGAATCAGTAAAGAAAATATTTGAATGTGCTTAATTCAACAAGTGAGTGAGTGGCAACAATGTCACAGTATATGTGAAAGATAAAACATATTAACAATTTGGGGGGGGGGGGCAATATGTGCCTAAGAGAGCATCAAGATATCTCGTTGGGAGCCACTGCACTACGGTGACCAGACGTCCCTGATTTGCAGGGACAGTCCCTGTTTGGACCACCTGTTTGCCGCTAAAGTCGTCCCCTGAAATGTCTCCTATTTTAATGTTTTATGAATGAGGGGGAAATGATGTGTGTAGATTGTAATTACCGTAGAAAGAGGGCGTGAGCATGCTGCTCACAAAAACAGCTGTTAGCTAGCTGGTTGGCAGCTGTTAACGAATAGATGAGGAGCTGACTGTAATGCTACTAAAATGGACAAGGAAGTTCGTTATGACAACGGGTCGCCGCTGCCCTGTGTTATGGTGAATGTGGTAATTGGTTGAATTGGGCTGATCATTGTGATTAATGTTTGGTTTTTACTCAGGTTAATAAAAAAGGGCTTTGATGTGTTTGTTTTACTAAAGATGAGGACCAGAAATGTAACCTAAACTATCAGCCAACAGTCAGACAGACCATTGGCTGCAGCTGCAGGAGGAAATAGACTCAGATCAAATGAACCAGAATGATTGAAAACTCCTTAGAAGGAGCTAATCTGGTTCTGTGGTTCTCCAGGGATCAACAAGGATTCATCTAAAGATGTTTTTAGATCTGATCGGTGACCTTTACGTTATATCCTCAGATAGTTAGTTATTGTAAGTAGAGTTATAAGTCGTTTTGCTGTTATATGGTTTGGGATTTATGAGCGTAAACCTCCAGGCTTAAGTCTACTTTTCTACCAGTCAGTTTAGATAAATGAAAGTTCCTCATTATTAGAAATAAGAGGCAGTAAAAGGAAAACTGAGACAAGATCTGCATGATCTGAGAATGATGGAGGAAGAGATAACCACCTGTTTAATGTTCATTTATTAGGTCTTTCTCTGTAGCTCCACATATTGTGGTGATTATCCTATTTAGTATTTAATCAGTGAGATAACAACAACAACAATAACCACCATCATCTTAATGATGATAATATGTATGATGAGATTATATCTGTTTGGAAGAGATTATGATTGTATTATGTCTGTTTGGAGAAGGAAGAAGACCAGATGCCACTAACAAACACTATAGATTGATTCGTTTTATTAATCTTAGGAAATAGGAGAGGCGCATTCCTGGATTTTACACTTGATTTTTGTTGTTTAAATATGAATTAATATGTAAAAATGATGGATTTTCTATTTTAATTTTAATGATATATATTTATTTTTTTCTACAAGCTGAAAATGTCCCCAGATGGGATTTCAGAAATGTGGTCAGCTAACGTCATGTTCAAACGCCCAGAGTTAGCAAGCCCCCTCCAGCCTGACTGCCATTGGATTCTGATGGATTGGTTAGCATATGATATTATATACCGTTTATAAATAAATTTAACATTAATCATTTCTGAGTTTGATAGAAGCCATCAACTGTTATTTTATGATTTTTTTTTTTATTTAAAGCCCAAATTTGCAGAAATGTGTAGAAGGTAACAGATAGAAGAAATGGACAAAGCAGGAAGTGTCCGGAGAGAAGAAGGTATCGGCTGACGGCTGGGGCGGGGGGGCAGAGAGGAGCTCTCAGCAGGAGCCTGTCAGTCAAACAGCAGGGAGCAGAGCTGCTACACGAGCCAGAACAGCAGGCAGCACAGCACATCAGCAGAACACACAGTCCTCATTCAGAACATTCATTTTTACTCTAAAAAAAGGAATCTGTCGAACCAAAGAAGAAGAACTAAAGCCTCCGACTGTTTGAGATGTAGACCTTCCCATTAAAAGCTTGTTATCTATTAATTCATTCTAGAGAAGAGAAGGTCATGGCTCGGCCTCCATCTGGAAAACAACCAGGCATCAGGTGAAGAGGATCATAGAGACTAAAAAGGCCTGGTTATCCTCCCGCAGCACTGCGTCGCAGTGAGCTTGTTGCAGATAGCTTTGATTTATGCCCAATATTGAAGCGTGGTCTGCGCTATGTGACTCCACGCCACAACGCCAGAGGGACAATCAGGAAGTAGCTAGGATTGTGGGTGTGGAGGGTGGCGTGTTTCTCCTCCGCTTACACAAACCTGTCCCATGCGTTTTTCCACTTCCTAACCGCCTCGGCCGTATCTAGACCCACGTTCATCGCCATGTGCCGTCCTTGTGGTGTGGAGAACGAGAGTCGTATAGATGTGGGTACTTCCTCACTTCTTCACAGATTCGCTCTACTAGCTGGTCCATCTTCACCAGTCGTTTTCCACAATGGCGGTCAGACAAACAAAACAAGCCGGTAAGGAACAAAACAGGAAATACGCATAGTGTAGAGCGGATGTAGATCTGACCAATCAGAGGCCTCCTTTTCTCTCCTCCCAGTGACGCTGTCTGCAGCACTGTCTGGGGTTTCCTACAATTTTGTGGAGGTGTGTTTGCGGAAGGGTTGGGGGGGCATATCTGCATTAACAGGTTTCTGAGCATAAACCAGGCTGAGGAAACCCACATTTCACTGTTACTGACTGTGGCATCATCCTAAATATTACAGGTTTAGGCCTTTGTCATTGCATGCATCATGAAAGGTGGCTCCCGGCAGCATCTAAACAGAGAACAGGGGCAATAAAACCACACATTTCAGTTCTTCAGCGACCAACAGAACCAAAGACGGCACTAATTGGAGGAAACAAAAACCTTAGCGGTCAGATGAAAGAAAACACGGATGAAAAACCAAAGAGCAGCTCGTCACTACCGACCGCGGTGAGCATGGTCACAAAACAATCTTTTCTTTAAGCCTCTTTCCTGCTGAAAGTAGCAGGTTAATGCATGATTTTAATGGGTGGATCCGCTAACAATCAGCATTTAGCTCCCCTCCCACTGGCAGAAACAGCTGGTCTTAGACTTAGACTTAGGCCGTTTCTCAATTCACAAGACCGTGAGTGTGGACTCATGTCCTCGCCAAATATGTTCTTGAGGAGAACCCAGGAAAGTCTGGACTGGAGAACGGGAGCACGCAGCATAAATCTGGGTCAACTGGAACAGAAGCGTTCTGATGACGTCACCACACGCTCAGCTCTTCTGGAGCTGCACATCACCTCCTGTTATTATTAGTCTCTAGATAATAATAAAGTATTACTTTTTTCATTTAGTGAGGGAATAATAATGAACACAGTCAGATAAACACAAATCAATTGAAACAGCAGACGGGCTAACATCAGCACTGGCTGCTGCAGACGGACTAACGTTAGCCCTGGCTGCTGCAGCCGGACTAACGTTAGCGCTGGCTGCCGCAGACGGGCTAACGTCAGCCCTGGCTGCCGCAGACGGACTAACGTCAGCACTGGCTGCCGCAGACGGACTAACGTCAGCACTGGCTGCCGCAGACGGACTAACGTCAGCCCTGGCTGCCGCAGACGGACTAACGTTAGCCCTGACTGCCGCAGACGGGCTAACGTCAGCCCTGGCTGCCGCAGACGGACTAACGTTAGCCCTGGCTGCTGCAGACGGGCTAACATCAGCACTGGCTGCTGCAGACGGGCTAACGTCAGCCCTGGCTGCCGCAGACGGACTAACGTCAGCACTGGCTGCCGCAGACGGACTAACCTCAGCACTGGCTGCCGCAGACGGGCTAACGTCAGCACTGGCTGCCGCAGACGGACTAACGTCAGCACTGGCTGCCGCAGACGGACTAACGTCAGCACTGGCTGCCGCAGACGGACTAACGTCAGCACTGGCTGCCGCAGACGGACTAATCTCAGCACTGGCTGCCGCAGACGGACTAACGTCAGCCCTGGCTGCCGCAGACGGACTAACGTTAGCCCTGGCTGCCGCAGACGGGCTAACGTCAGCCCTGGCTGCCGCAGACGGGCTAACGTCAGCCCTGGCTGCCGCAGACGGACTAACGTTAGCCCTGGCTGCCGCAGACGGGCTAACGTCAGCCCTGGCTGCCGCAGACGGGCTAACGTCAGCCCTGGCTGCTGCAGACGGACTAACGTTAGCCCTGGCTGCTGCAGACGGGCTAACGTCAGCACTGGCTGCTGCAGACGGGCTAACATCAGCACTGGCTGCTGCAGACGGGCTAACGTCAACCCTGGCTTCTGCAGATGGACTAAAGTTAGCCCTGGCTGCTGCAGACGGGCTAACATCAGCACTGGCTGCTGCAGACGGGCTAACATCAGCCCTGGCTGCCGCAGACGGACTAACGTCAGCACTGGCTGCCGCAGACGGACTAACGTCAGCACTGGCTGCCGCAGACGGACTAACCTCAGCACTGGCTGCCGCAGACGGACTAACGTCAGCACTGGCTGCCGCAGACGGACTAACGTCAGCACTGGCTGCCGCAGACGGACTAACGTCAGCACTGGCTGCCGCAGACGGACTAACGTCAGCACTGGCTGCCGCAGACGGACTAACGTCAGCACTGGCTGCCGCAGACGGACTAACGTCAGCACTGGCTGCCGCAGACG